CACAAATTGATAAACTTTTTGAAAACAGGATTTTGTGTACAAAAAGAGTTATAAATATGTAGATAATTTGCCACAGAAATTCTACATCTAGGATTTTACCCTAAGGAAATAATTTGAAAAACTGAAAAAGTTCTAGGCATAAAGATATTACTGTTTTTTAAAATAGTGAAACACCAAAAACAAACGTGCAACATCAGGGACATTTGAGAAGTAAATTACAACGTACTCGAGTCAAACATCACGTAGCCATATAAATATTTTCTAACAATTTATAAAAGAAAAAATGCTCACACCAAAGTAAAAGAAAGGACGCATAGTGATTATATATTTTAACCATGTTAGAAAAGTATACAGAAATAAACACTAGAAGGAAACAGAGCAGACTCCAACATTTGGAAAGTTAATTTTTTTTTGGGGGGTGGGGGTAGAAATAGGTTTCACTATGTTGCCCAGGCTGGTCTCAAACTCCTGACCTCAAGCAATCCTTCTGCCTTGGCCTCCCAAAGTGCTGGGGTTATAGGCACAAGCCACCATTTATTATTTCTATTATTTGAAAATGACCTTAAAGGTCCATGACTTGTGATAATGTATAATTTTTTCTAAGGTATGAGTCTGAAACGTGCTAGCTGGCTGAAACTCGACAGTAAGTTACTTGGCAAGAAAGTGAGCTAGGGGAGGAGAGGCTAAGAAGGGTGGGTTTGTGTCTTTCCTGTATAACCTCCCAGCCCCCACTTCCCAAGGAATGAAGTAGTAGAGATGGTGAGGAGATGCATGATGACTACCAGTTTAGGCAAGGTATGACCAGTCACCAGTGAGTTTAACATCAGCATCTGCCGATGGCTTTATTGTTCTGCTCTCCAATATGAAAATCTGATTTTAGTTATACCATATTTGATAGGGACCATTATATCCTATAGTGTTATTTGTGAATGAGGGGATTCACAAAGGTCTTAGAGTATATTTCTTCAGTATACTGTAAATCAAAATATTAAAACCACTTAGGACCAGGTGCAGTGGCTCATGCCTATAATCCCAGCACTTTGGGAGGCCAAGGTGGGCAGATCACTTCAGGCCAGGAGTTCAAGACCAGCCTGGCCAACATGGTTAAACACCATCTGTACCAAAAATACAAAAATCAGTCAGGCATGGTGGCACACGCCTATAATCCCAGCTACTTGGGAGAAAGAGGCAGGAGAATTGCTCGAACCTGGAGGGTCCAGGCTGCATTGGAGCCAAAATTGTGCCACTGCACTCCACTGCAGCCTGGGTAACAGGGCAAGACCCTGCCTCAAAAAACAAACAAATAAAAAACCACTTAGATTGTGCTACTATATGAAAATGTTTATTTTCCAGTTATGCCTTTTTGTGTTTTCTGGGTTTGTTTTTTGAGACAATGGTCTAAAAAGGCACTGAAATCCAAAATAATATGAACTATCACTAACTCTTAATATAAGAAATATAATAACTTGTATAAGTAATATAATAACTAATCATATACTTTATACTACTTTTTCATATAGATGCCATATAGATGCCATGAATATAAAATACTTCCAGTACTTGTTTTTTTGTTTTCTTTTATAGAAAAAGGGTCTTGCTATGTTGCCCAAGCTGGTCTTGAACTCCTGGTCTCAAACGATCCTCCTGCCTCAGACTCTGAGGCTGGCACATGTACCTGGCTTGCTTTCTGTATTTTTTGAATGTTCCACAGTGAGGAGGAAGAAAACTAAAAGTTAACTTAGCTCTAGAAGATAAAACCTTTTTCTTTCCTGGATCAGTTAAGGTACTGTGACAGGAATAACCACCATAAGAACAGGGTGAAAAGCAAAAATCTGTG